ACTGCAACGGCGTCATGAGTTGGAGGCAAAGTGAGTAGAAGTTTGGAGTAGCGGACTTGAGATTAATCCTGCCAACAAGGTGCTTTCAGAGGCATCACTGTCACCTATCCTCAAGCAAACACCGGCGGTACACCAATATATTTGGCGTTCAACATTGGTGGTGTCGATACATTTCCCAAACGACACGATCAAGGTTTGTATACTGTACTTGTTCTTCCAAAATACTTAATTTGGGATATGTTCAAAGGCATGCCGCAGGATCAAATTGGTGTGGTTCATGCACACGAATGCAAATGTACTGGTGCGAAATGGGCCGCAATAAAGGAAAACGAGAGGAATCCGTCGAAATGCTTAAAGGAATCCTTCGCGGAAAAATCATGATTCTATTTCAGCCATAAATCACTGGCTTGAGACTCATTATCCACGATAAGAATGAAAAGAACAGAAGTATTGCTTTTGTTTCGGTGTCTTTCACAAATGCTGGCGACGGGGATGCTTCCACTTGGTTCTTGGAGTGCCTTCACTAGAAACTCTTTCTGGCCTTCTGCTTTATTGCATTCACATCTTACACTTCTACTCCATCCTATTCTATCGATCGATTTGTCTCTACTCTCCGAAATCGCGCGCTTTAACCCGATTCTTTCATTGCGTCGCGTGATAAGTAGCGTATACATGTCAAGAAAGAATGCGAAAATTCTCCGCGAAGGGTTCCTTTAAGTCAAAAGCTTACTCATATTCGTAAGAAAAGAGGAGAAACCGTCGAGCTCGTGGTGTTAGGCGGGGCCAATGCTGCATCCTATAGCCTTAGCGCCTAGGCCTTGTCAAATCATCCCGAAAGTTGTGTACGCACTTCCTGTTTGCGTGCCGTTGCACTTGTTGCGAGCCGACGAGCAAGCCCTTAAAGTTTTATTCCAATCAAAATCACGGACCTTACCTTTAAGGGCTCACTCACCTTCGTAATCGGCTGTGCTAAGGGAATGAGAGACTAAGCGCGGAGAGGAGAGTATGAGGCGAGAGAGCGCAACAGATGAGAGGGCGCCAGACAACAGCCTGATAAAGAAAAAAATCTGCAGCTTCAGCAGCTTACTTTGCAAGGCCCAAGCGCTCTTGTCGGTTGGTTTCCGTGCACGAACGCCACATTGTGATTGTCCTCTAGGGGTCTATACTACAGACCGAAGGAAGCGTTCACACGACTTCTGCCTGGGTTGTGCCTTTAATAGCTTGTTTCTGGCCGGCGTACTTCGTTCGTGATAAATGATAATAAACGAGTTTTTCGTGATAAATGAAGTAGGCATTGATAAAAACGTCCCATCAGAAGCTCTGTTCAATATTATCCTCAGGATACTTCAAAGACTACCAAGTTTCTTTTTCTAGAGCGTGCATGCGATGAGGATTTGGTACTTCCTGAGATTCGACACACCGACACTGGACGCCATGGCTAAGGAATGGGAGGAGGCTGGTGCAAAGTATGTCAGAGAAAAATACGGCGATAACCCACTGATAAAGGTTAATGAAATTTTGCTGATTTCTAGTTGGCGATGTGTCAGTTTAATTTTGATTAGCTTTTATTTCCGCTGTCCTGCTGTGTTTTTTTCCAGTACAAGAGTGCTAAATTCACTCGAATGTACTTCTCTGTTTAAGTGTCACATCAAGCACTCGCGAATAGTGGATCAGGGCCTCACGAACAACGCCAATCGTCTCAAGCCCTACTTTGCTGTCACTGTAGTCGTACTTATTGCTTTCACATCTCTATATTCCATGAAATGGGACATCAAAACCGATGACGGTCTTAGCGGTATGTATTTTGCTCTTGTTTCATTGAGGAATACTTTACTCGCAGTGCTCCTCAGACTTGGATAAAAATGAGAGTTAAAATAGGGAAAGCCGATAGACGGTTAATACCCTCAATAGGATTGAGAAGTGAGGTAGTTCAACTGCAGACACCGGCACCGCTTACCGAGTCCTTTCTGGGGGTGAAGCCTCGCAACGATTCCCATCTCCTTATATCAAGCATCCCACCAGGGTGGGCTAAATGTCTAATGATAGGTCTTCTTCGAAAGGATAAAAGATTGTTAGAGATCAACAAGGTACGGTAATGGCAAAATAGTATTCAATAGTTGCAAGTATTCTAAATGGAGATCGAATGCATGGCCCACCCACAAAAATTGTCGAGTGGTGAGTATTTTCGCGTAGAATAACGGGTTTGAGCATTCACTGGCACTCCAAAGCTTCCGAAAATTAAAATGTAAGCCGCCGAAACTGTTGTCTGGATACACCATGCTTTCCACTCCAGTCTAACACCGCAGGTCATTCGAAAACGCATTCATTTTGTACTTCCGTGGGTTGGTAACTGAGTATCGAAGGTCAACTGGTATTTGTGGTATTGACTTTTCTTTTTATAAGGGTTCACTTCAATACAATCGCCCCTCAGCGTGGAATGAAGGGCCTGGATTTTCTTTATTATTGCTCGATTCATGGTGGGATCCATCGTGTATGTGATATCGTAGCTGCTTGTTCAAGCTTGCTTATCCTAAACCTCTATCAGATGTGCATTTCGAAGGAGGATTCCACGATTAGGACGCAGGTCAACGAGGGAGAAGCTTAACTAGTGGCGAGGCAAGCAGACCTCCTAAGGACGCGAACCGACACGTAATTTGCATCGGAGTTACATGCATGCGGCATTACTGCTCTCGCTAGTTGCACGGCTTGACTGGTACACTTCTCTTGCGGCGCCTCGGTGATGATCGGAGTCTTCTAGCCTTACAGCAGAGAGGTTTAGACCGTGAAGAGGCAGCACCGATGAGGGTCGCATCAATGCTGAAAATCAGCGGGCAGGGAGAGTGTCTCATTTCTTGGGTTCTGGGCGTTTTTTTGGTTTTTTCTTCTTTAGTACATCACTTACCGTCCCTTACGTAATTTCCAATGGGCTGCGGTTTCATCGTACAATCCGCTTTTGAGGATGCCGCCTACATGGATATAGGACTAGGGCCTTTGAAGGATAGGCTCAATGGCACTGTCTCATGGACATACAAAAAGTCACGGTACGAATATACAATTTCAGTCGGCGTCGATTGGCTCCGATCCAAGCCCATACTAGCGCTCTGGGTGGCGTCCTTTCTTCAGGACTTGCAATATTCAGGTACTTCAGATTTAGCATTTGAAATCGCTCTGTATTTTTAGAAATTCTAATCTTCCCATGTGCAAATTATTTATCTTAGGTGACTCAGTGCAATCGGTTACACATCTATGGTGTGGAATGTTCTTCGCGGAGATCACCCTTGTTGCTCCTTTCCTTGTACTTTGTGAGCTTGCGTCTCAAGTTGTAGTATAGTCTGTTACCTTTTTCTAACATCTCGGTTGTTTTCAGCTATCGGAGTCGACGATATGTTCATCGCTGTGGCTGCTTGGCACAATACCGAGTTGAAATATCCAGGTGGGCTAAAGGAAACGTTCACGGGAAACTCTTGCATTCTTAACCTACATGAATACGTCAACTGTGATCACTAGAGGCAATGTACAAAGTTTCACGCAAGAAGATTCAGTTACGAAGAGAAACAAACTACGAAAACCACACTCTATGGACGGTCGCGGGTAGGTCGGGCGGAGACAAGGGAACGCATAGAAAAAAGTGCGCATTGGGGTAGCACCTATTAGGCGACAGAAAGGATCATGTTGAAGCATTCGAATTAGGAGAACGGAGACGAAACATCGGCAGAATAGGATGCAATAAAAAAAGACTAATGCCGTTGTCGTAGGTGGGAGAGGCCAAAAACAGTTCCTAGTGAAGGCACCCCGAGAATCAAGCGCAGCCTTCCGCCACCAACATATTGACAGATATACGCGGGAATTCGAACGCGTAATACTTCCCGTATCGTTAACCGAAACAAATGCACTTTTTCCGTTCTTACCGTGAACAAATTATCTAAAACCAGTGAATATGGATGAGATAGAATGATTTTTGCGAAAACGATTTCTTAAGGGATGACAATAATTCTTTCGTCTACGATAATTGTCTTTGTAATGGTCCACAAAGACAAAACACCTGTAAAGAGTTGACGAATAATGGATAAAACTTTTGGCGTCGATTGCTTCCTATTTGGGATGCGCTACGCACTGTTCCTCGACTCAGAATCAGTGGCTCCATGAATGCGATATGGTCTGTGTACAAGGCGTACGGGCAACCGTTTAAAGAGTCCGTGCATTTGTTCTTCCAATAAGTCTGATACCAATGAGCCGACTACCGAGGTATAAGAGGTGATCGACTTGGGTAAACTTCTAATGAAAGTGACCCCCCATCTGTATATGTATGAAGTGACACCACTAGCTACTATTAGGTCGTGAAGAAAGTTCTTGCGCTTTTCGGTGTTTCGTTTTTGAACGCTTTATTTTGTTACGAATTCAAGCAAGCTGCAATGAG